TCCAACCCCCTTTCCAGCTTTTTTTTGACCCTTTGTATTTCTTTCTGTTCATCGTTTTTTGCGTTTTTTCCGTTGTTATCGCTTTATTCTAGAGTAGTTCTATCAATTCCCGTCAAAAAAGGGTACCCTAAATTTATTGCTAACGGTGCCTTTAAGTTGATTTGGTTCCACACAACCAAAGAAATTACCTTCTGACCAAGAAGCAATTCAGGTGCGCGATACCATAACGTTACTACAACAGCTGTGTATGGCCTAAGAGGATCGCCGTATTCTCTGGCAAGACCGAAATCAGCAATCTGGAAGTACAATGAATTACAGTGTGGTTTACTGCGAAAGAGTAAACTAAGACTCACCTTCAAAATGCCTTTATGAGAAAATAACAAATTAGAAGTTTTCAAATCACGATGTAAGATCCAATTATCATGAAGGTGCTTTAGTCCAGATAACAACTGCCTCATCAATGTTTTTTGTTCACCTGAAGTTATGCGAAATTTGAAGATCCTGTATTTTTAAAAATAATGGTATCGGCACTGCCAACACAACAAAGTGTATTTCAAATAGAAGTTCAGGAGAAACAAACCAAATGAGAAGCGCTTTCCGCGCTTATGCATAGTATCCATGAGATTTTTCATGTCATGCTCCACAAATTCCATGGCTAGGTATATTTTATCGGCATTACTCCCTATCAGAATCTCCTGAACCTGAAAACAGCTATACTTTAGGGCATAACTGTTATTTTGATGACATATTAAGAAAACACACTAACATTAACTATGTTCTCATGTTTGCCGGCTTTTAGAAGCATATTGATTTCACGAAGAGCAGTGATAGGGAATCCTTCTCGTTCTTTCTCAATTTTCAGTCGCTTAAGAGCAACAATCTCATCTGAAATAAGGTTAAACAACTGAATAGACTTCATAGAATGCTTAAACAATAAGGCGCAGAATCACAGCAAATTGCTCAACCAATATGTAGCAACAGAAAGAATGGAAGTTTCTAGAAGTCTCTCATTAATGCTAATCTACACCGAGACTGGTGTGCTGGGGGAGCAGTTGTAGAGCGGAGGACCCCAAGCGGCAGGTCTTACACCAATGTTTTCGTTTTGCATTTCATGAAATGTAAGCTAAATGGTTGCAGAACAATTCTAGCCATTCCCTTAGTCATTCCCCCGTAGCCCCCAATCACTTAATGAACACCGCTGATATATTCCCAGATGAGATTCTGCAATGCCGATTCTGACTACAAGGGAGAAGCGCCTCTCCCCCAACCTTGGATGAAGTAGCACGACTTATAGACCAGATGCATCCTGGCAGAGTACATTTCGGAGGAGTAACACCCGGCTTTTGAGAAAAGGATCGTGCTTGTTCTGTCGAACAGTCGGCTTCATCCGAGAAGTTTACGGGTGCGCTTCGTTGCGCGCGTCCGTCGAAACTAGGTCACGCCGCACCGTCGCATGCGGCGGGTCAGCAGGCGATACTTGATAGACGTCGCAGTTGTCACTGGGGCACACGATTTGCGCTTGGTCCACGGCAGTCAGCCAGAGAGAAGATAACACGAACAAATGTAAATCGTTTGCTCCATTGACCCTTTTGGTACTGTAATGTCATCTTGAGACCTCAGTGGGGTGTGCCGCGCGCGAAGTGGGCGGGGTGACCTACTTTCGACTGACGCGCGCAACGGACGTTCTCCGGTCAAGACGGATCAGATAAGGCACTTAAAATTTCTCGCAAGTTCTACCAATTCCCACACAGATTTAGAACGCAGATTTATGATCAGCGCGCGCTGTTTAGCTCATACTAGAGAGCTTTGGCGACCTCGCATTCTTACCTTGGCAGGCGATCGAAAACCTCAATAAATTGACACTAAGAGGAGAATAGTTCAGCTGGAATAACTGTGTATTGAATGCGAATTCGATACTAATCCCAAATGATACCGAAACCAATGTGTGGTAATATTGGACTGGATTTCCTGGCTTGCTGTTAGCACCGCTCAGACAAAGAGAGTTGAACTGCAAGGTATCAAAAAAGATGGAGGATTTTGCTACAAACAACAACAACAACTACTGAAAAAAAAACTATCCAAGCTGTAATCAATCGGCAACGCTTCACTCCCTTCCGGCCTAAGTAAAAATGATGGGCGTTAATATGGAATTTCAAGTTTGCCATAAACAAGGATGGGATGAGGGTTTGGCTTGAGACAGACGATCTCAGCGGTGAATTACTCCCTCTGCTGTATGCCTGGCTTGAAAAAGAGGTACGCCTGAAACCCTTCAAAATATGATGAGGGAAAAGAACTTTCCATCTTCTTTGAGATACCTTAGTATTCATGACAGGCTTTGATCAGGTGTGTTCAATTTGGCTCAATCAGAGAAATGCAACAAAAAGGACATTGACAAGTTACAAACTAGTTAAAAAAGGAATTTAACGGTCGCCAGGAAAGTTTGGGCGGACTACTAAACTTGTAAGTAGTATACTAAAACATACCTGTGCGCTTGTTCTTAGCACGATAGACCACTCCGAAGGTTCCTTCCTCTACTCTGTTAACACAATCGAATTCAACAACATTACGACAGCCCATGAATGCTATAAAATGCCCAATAAAGCAAGAAAGCAAGGAAAAAAACTGCAATCACGCCCTTACATGCATAATAAATAGGTAATTGCGCTATCAAACGACTCTGCCATTCATTTTCCAATCGTTTCTTCGTATCTGGAGAAAGCTGAAAGTAGGCCAAGTTAATCAACTAAAAAAATCTTGCAATGTTTCGAAGAAAAATAGCACACCAAAGCTTTCTGCTCGTCTGTCAATGTCTCATAAGTTGCAGTTGAAGGATCGAACTCTGGCTCAGGTTCCATTTCTACATCACTATACACCGCTACTGAAACCCTTGTCATACAAAATAGGAAGCAATAAGGCATAAAAATGAGACATCAGCACCTGGACTGTGTTCCGGAGTTTGTTCATCTGTTCCGCCTGGCTCAGGACTACTATCAAATTTCGAATATTTCTGTGGTCCAGCCGGTGAATCCAGAGTGAATGATGTGATCTCTGCAATTTTCTGCCTATTCAAAATAGAAAAATCAAAACGGAAAGATTTCCCGTCGAATCGCCCTAACATTGAAAATTTTACAACCTACGTCAGCCTTCAGTACACATTCTCTCCGTCCAAAATTTTCTAGTTGAAGAAAGCCGAAAGAATGAAACTTAAGCGAACAAAATTCTAGTCTGCGGCTAACACTAAAACGCGAGCGAAGGGAGGTTCGGGAACGAATGGAAACTCGAATAGAAAGCAAAATGTGACATCGCATACCACTTTCAGCAATGAAAGTTTCTTCTTCTTCTGCAACTGATTCAATCACCTCCATTTTCGCAACAGTCACAGTTGCTGGTTCAGATGGCACTGCAGATGATAACGGATCATGTTTCTTAGCCTCTGAACAAAAGTAGCTGACTAATCAGGAGTTATTATTAAACACAAAAACACATACCATTCAGAAAAAGATCCTAGATCGAAGAGGCTATTTTTAAGGATAAAAAACTATGGATGTTTTTTTTCGAGCGACGATATTTGACCTACTCCCCAAACTTGCAGAGCGATTGCTAGTGCTTTTTTGCTGTATTGTTGCAAATCCGGCATGCTAGAGTATGCTGTTAGAATTGTTGCACCGTACAAGATTTTGGGGTACAAAAACTTGTTTAAAACATGCGATTTTTGAATTTGATGATTACTTCAAAGAGTTCAAACTCGCATCAAGATGAGAACGTGAACACTACTAAATGCAGCAAAAAATATTAGCACAGAAGGGTTGAATTTTAAAAATCGCTATATTTAGGTGTAAAATATCTGTAGAAACGGTTGTATAAGTTACATAACCCCTAACACAAAGTCAGTGATCTAACATAGTTCTAGGATAAGTAGTGGGCAACAAAGGACACTTTTCAGTGTAACGTATCAGAAAGGATTCCGGACGCGTAAGCCATAAAGGCGGAGATACAGGAAGATCACTAACTGAACGGGCTGAGAACGCTTCATTTTGTGACAGTGTAACGTCGGCGCTGAATGGAAAAGAGACAATGGCAAACTTTTGAAATGAAATGAACAGCACCATGGTAGTGCAGGAGGTAGGACGAGACTTCAGTATTGAATTATTCATTCGAAGCATTTGTAGTTCTTAAATTTCAAAAGAAATTCTAAAATGATGACCACCGCATTTAACCGTTTCTACCCTACTACGAGCTGTGAATAGGGAGGATCATGTCCTAGTTTTCACGAATCCATGACAGTGGACTTCTCATCAAAGGTGAGATGTAGAGTGTGGGTTTCCTAATTACGAAGATTTCTCTGTTCATTGCCGTTTACATCGCCAGCACTACTAGATTGAGATGTAGTACTGCGATTCTAATCTCGCATCGTATGCGGACGTCTGGAGAACACATTTCAGTAAGGAACTGTACTAATCTGTTCCACCAAACAACTTGCAAAACGCAACAATTTTAAGAGCATCTCTACGCAAGGTAATCTTACTGCTCCTTGCACATCTTTCTACATTATGAGAAATTGATGGAAATCTAGGCACCTGAGAAAAGGAAACAAAGGTGTGAAGAGATAGCCAGTGTTTAGTGAGGCAGATTTACTGCATTGAAATCGACCTTGGGAGTTCACCAATGAGTTTTCCCTTTCTATAGTCCACTTGAATAGTCCACTATCATCACTATCAAATCAGATTTTTGTTTTTCTTTTCAACTTTTGGAATTCCGCTCGAAAGTTGTTAGCCGTAATCGTTTGTGGAGGGACACTTGATCAATAAACTAGGGTTCTTGACGATACAGAGGACGAGGTAATAAGACGAATCAACCAATTCGAGTAAAGATAGGCTCGGCCTACTTGAACTCCGTTGAAGGATAGCTTTCAGTTCCAACGTGTTCGCAACAAATACTTGTCTCACACTGCTTTCCAGGGTTCAGAAATCATGAAATATGAGCAATGCTCGGTACAATTGAGGTGTACAGAGCATCAGAAACTACAGCTTTCCAGAAAATTTAATGGCTGCGTATTCTGTTGGATCAATTGGCCTTAAATTTTGCACTACTTAACTTCAAAATCGGATATACATTTTTGCAGAATATCAGTACTGCATTTTCTTCTTGTCCCCCGTAAATTTACCAGATCAAAAGTGGGAAAGCTTAAGATTGTAAAGAGCAATGAAATGATTCTGAGCTCTTTAACTGCGCATCGATGAATGCATCTTAAAATTTGAACTAAAAGACAGACACAGAAAGGCGAAAAAGAAGCATGCCTAAGGATCTCATCCTATCGGTAACAATACAGCTAAGACTCCTCACTAATAACTGTCACTACCTCTTCACAGCTGTATATTTCGACGACAACTTGAAGTCATCCCTCTAAGCCCCGATTGTCCTAGGTATATAAGAAGTGTGGAGAAAAATCATACTCCGTAAAAGTTTAGTTTCGCGAAGTTGGAAGGAGGTCATGCATCGACATACGAAAATACGCCCTAGATTTACATCCCTCTAAGTAAGCCCCTTCAATCTTGGATCTTCGTCATATGCGCTGTATCATACCTTTTGGCTTATCCTTCTTTTTCATTCGCTCGGGGGGAGAACGTTCACGTTTTTTGAGACCTCCCATGAGAATCTCGTCTGGAGAAGGGGTGCTACTAAAATAAAAAGTAAAAGCTTCTACAAATAAAGCTAGCTTGCAGGAACCTACGAGAACAATTATTGGAAATTTGAATTATGTATGTGAGTTCAACTCAACTATACGTTTGGATAACGCGAACACTCAATAGCAGAAGTGTGCACAGTCTCCCGTCTATGTACTTTGGCACAATAACAACATTTTGTGATGGAATTTGTATAAGCTTCCAAAAGGATAATGTGAATTCAGAACGGTTGCGGAGTCTTTTGAAATTTTCTAAAGACCTTGCAGATTCCATAAAAGACAATCTCGCAAAAAAAAGCTAATTTCATCTTATTAATGCATCTCAATTCTACCCCATGACTGAATTCGTCAAAGGAATTTTACACCAAACTCCGACTCCTATTTCTTTCCGAACTTGGTCATGAATTGACGAAAGGTCGTTCGATGTGCCAGCCTTTGTTAGGAGGAAGCACAAATGAAGCACTACCGCTGCTTTCGGAAACATTGAACCTGCTGCAGCGAAGAGCTATATGAGTAGAACATGCTAGGAGATCAAACGCGATAGAAACATTGTCAAAAACAAACAGAGTGCTTGGTAGGGTGTGAAAAAAGGTTCGTAGATAATCTCATGTCGTACAGATTAGGAGGCATTACCCCGATCACTGTGCCAAAACTAAGCCGCCAGCGCCAAGCAATCAGTCATTTCACAACCCTTCGAATACAAAAAAGGATATCGCGAACATGAATAGCTGATGTCACAATCACGCAGTGATCTGATCTTGAGTGATGACTGGCGCTTTCTGATTCAACTTATCCATAGTAACCGGACATAAAAAATTTTTACAAACCAAAACCGGGAATTTTCCAAACTGATCACCTCTACTTAGAAATCCTAAATGTCAATCGTGATTATGAAGAAAGAAACAGTTATAGAAATGAAGTGGATGTTCATGCAACGCTCAATGAAAAAAGATCGGATGTTCCATGAACATGAAGTGAAAGGCCAGCAGTGATTTACCGCAGAATTCAACTTCCATCAGAGGAAAAAGTATAATAAATGAATACTTTTCAAAGCCTTGATGGCAAAAAAGCTTGTTTTAATGTATTAAAGCTTAGTAGTATGTTCCCTCTCACCTCAAATCTCGCTTCGTCAGACGCTCCTTCCGCATGCGCTCCTCATCTTCGTCTCTTGGTCTCTTATCTCGATGATGCTTCAGAAGCATGCGAGAAGCATTCTTGATTCGAAATTCCTTAATACATCTTGGTATCAATTTTACAAAATCTGACCAGTGAGCTTTCAGTACACAAAAATGGTGGGAAAAATTCAAGATGTAATATAGACAATAGAAGACAATAATAATAATGTAATATAGACACTCGGAAGTGGCGCATAGGACCACCGACTGAGTCCCGTGGACGGTATGCGACGGCTACAGAGTATAAACAACCTCGCGTGAATGATTTAGTCCGAATTGGGACTCTGAACGTGGGGTCACTGATTGGAAAGTCCCGCAAGGTAGGTGATCTAGTGAAGCGCAGGAACATTGAAGTCATATGCCCACAGGAGACCTGTTGGAGATGGCCAGAGGCTAGAGAAATCGGAGATGATTCAAGTTCTATTACAACGGAGACGACAGCAAACGAAATGGTGTGGCTATAGCAGTGATGGAGTCCCTCAAAGAGTCTGGGTCCGCCGTCAAGAGGAACAACACTCCAATATGGCAGTAAGGACAGACACAAAAGAGCGGTACTCAGCAATAATATCAATGTACACACCCCAAGGTGGCTGCCCCGCGTGTGAGAAGGATAAATTATAACTGAGCTTCGACGTCTCACCATAGCGGGTGACCTGGATAGGCACGTCAGCAGTGAAAAGAAGGGACTGGAAAGGGTACAGGAAGGTAGCAAAATATGTGTCAGTGGTAAAGAAGGAGAGGAGATCCTCGACCTGACGGTAGCCCATGACTTGGCAGGCCGCAGCACCTTCGCGAAAAGGAGAATCAGAAGGTAACCTACAGCGAAGGAGAGAAAGAGTTGGGAATAGACCACGTGCACGTAATGAGATCGTCCCTCAAAACTGTGATGGACATTAAGGTACTGCCTGGCGAATCACTGGCTCCACAGCACAGGCCTTTTCTAGCCAACATAGCCATACAGTTTTCCGAGAAAATAAGGACTAGATTAAAGCAGAGGATACAGTGGTGGAAGCTGCTCCGAACCGAAATAGAATAACTGAAACGGAAGATACTGGAGGCTAGTCTCCCCGATCTCGAAGGACCGATCCAGGCCTAGAGCAACGCCGTGAAAGCCAATACAATGTGCAAAAGAAACGCGGCGGGAAACTCTGGGAGGAATCCGGGAAAACAGAGAAAAGTGGTTTTGGAACGATGATGTTGAGCGAGTTGATGAAGTCGAGCGAGAAAGCGGCTTACAAGCGCTGGCAGAAGATGCAAGCTCCAAAAGACTTAGCTGCCTACAGAAATTTCAAGAGGGTCGTAAAGGCTGCTGTAGCGAAAGCAGGAATACGTAAATGGACGCCATGTACGAGAAACTCGTTCGCCAAGAAGGCGAGAAGTTCGCCACCACTCAAGACATCGGGGTGGTGAAGTCCGTTGAGAACAGAGAGGGCGCAATCTTGAGGAAGCCTGGTGAGATCAGACAAGGGTGGAAAGAACCCTTCGAAGGTTTTTAAACAAGGAATTC